CATAGAGGGAGGGGTGCGTGGAGGTGGGGTAGAATGAAGAAGAGCGGGGACTGGCTGGGTCCTACTCTGCCCAGGGAAATAGGTGGATGCCGGGAGGAGGTCTGGACAGGGAGGGATTTTTAAAAAGAGGCAAGGTGTTAGGTCAGACAGGGGTTAGGCTCTCTGGTGCTGCAGGTCCAAGGCTAAGGATAGACTTAGCACCCACCCACCCTACTCCAGGGATGGAAGGGGAGGAGAGTGTTGAAGGGCAGGAGGCAGCCTCTGGACTCATCAGAGAATACCCAGGACAGGCTAGTGTGTGAAGCCAGATGGCTAGTGCTGAACCATGCCTTGAAGACTGGCCTGGAGTCAGATGAAGCCGAGAGGCATGTCCAATGTGCCCTTTGGTGGTGGAAAAGTCCTCTTCAGCACTAGAAACTCCAACTGGACTAGGCTGATGCCAGGAATGCAGTGGGAATGGGGGCAGGGGAAAACAAGAGCCAAGGACCTCTACCTTTGACACCTGAGCTGGGGTGGTGAGATGTTGGCCCTCTCAAACCCTCTGAATCCAAGACTTTATTTACCAGGAGGAAACCTCTGAGATCATCTCTCCCACATTACAGAAGGGAAAGCTGAGTCTGAGAAAAGGGAAGTAGCCCATCTGATGTCACATAGTCTGATCAATGTTGGGGAGTGAGGGCACATGCCCCAACACACAGAGCCAGTGGACTGCAGTATTCTAACCACACTGTCCCCATCAGCTGCCCCCTCTTTTTTAATGTAATCCCAAATAATAATAGCTAACATTTTTATATAGCACCTCCTATGTCACTTGTGACAAATTTGATCTTCGTGACAACCCTCGGAATTATCTCCATTTTACAGTTAAGGAAACTGAGGCAAATAGAGGTGAAGTGACTAGCCCAAGGTCACATAGCTAGTAAGTGTCTGAGGCTGGATTTGTACTCATATAGGTCTTCCTAACTCCAGGCCCACTGCTTTATCCCCTATCTGCCCCAAATTCCTCAGAATAAACCCCACTTATTCTATAAGGCCCTGGGGTTCTCATGAGTAATTCAAAGGTTCTCTGAAGTATAGGAAAGGAACAAAGCTGGGGAGAAAAGAGGGTCTTTCTCATGACTTTCTACCATCTGAGACAGCTTGGGCTCAGAAGCCCATACAGTTATCTTCCACATTATGGGGTTAGGGGCACAATACCCCCACCCCACCCCCATCCTTCCACAATCTGGAAAATCCCCATAAAATTTTTTGCCCTCCCATCATACTAGAGAAGAAGTCTTAATTATTATGGTATTAAAAGATAAAATATGTTGATATTATACAATATTTTATATATATATATATATATATATTATGCATTTCTGAGTTTCTAAACTTTGTGTGTCATCTGCTGACCTTTGCATGGCATTTGTGGCTTCCACAAAACTCCCCATTTAATTTCTCATGCCAATCTGGGATGTATCAAAAGCACCATGGAGAAAGTCTCGATGTGGGAGGGATAACTGTAATTGTCTTTGACCTTGGCTGTCTGTACTTGAGGGTGGGAATTTCCTCCCCAGACACATGCCCTACTCCCCCTTCTCAGAGATGACCCCAACACACACTCAGGCCAAATGTCTTTGTTCAACAAAAAACAATTTACTGCAGAAAACAAGAATGGCAAAGGCATGAAGTCTTTACAGAGTGCAAACCCAGGCACAGAGAAGAGGAAGCCTGTTAGGGCCCAGGTCTGGACCATGGCCTCCTGTAGGGTAGTAAGAGACACCTGGAGGTTAGTACCTGCCCGAAAGCATACTGGGAGTGCCTCAGTAACAGACACTGGCTCCACCTATGAAGGAGGAACATGGGAGGAGCTCGGACAAGTTCCACCCACGAGGTGGAGCTAGGGCTATAAGAGCAGGACCCGGGGGTGTCTGAGAGGAGCCGGGAGTCGGAGCCGGGGAGAGACCAGAGGCCGGGACGATGGGAGGCAGGAGAGAGAGCAGAGGCCGGGACCTTGGGAGGCAGGAGAGCATGTAACCAATAAATCGTCTGCAGCTGCCAGCACGAGTGTTCTGTCTAGTCATTCCCCTCCACCCTTGGAGGGGCCGGAGACGTCCGAAGACCGGGAAGGGTAAGTATCCAAGCGAAGGCTTGGGTGGGATAGCTGATTAAGTACACTACATCAGCCAGGGACCCACCAAGCAATATCTAAGCGATGGCCCGGGTGGTGTAGAGACCCCGGGCAGAAGCCCACTTTAGAAACTGTTCCTCTGGTTCTTCTGGTCTGGAAACTTCCATCCACCCCACCTTGCATCCACTCCACTTTTGGCCCAGTGGAGGCCCCGCCAGCCTGCAGATGAGTCTGGGTCCATGCTGAGCTCACGCACTCTCAGCTGTTCCTCATGACCCCTTCTCTTGATCACTGCCTTCCTTCCTCCTAGCCCAGAAATCTAGTTCCCCTTCCAGAAAGATTTATGGGATCCTCAGCAATCTCTCCAGCAAAAAAAAGCACTGGGCCTAGAGTCAGAAGATCTGGGTTTGAAAATCTGCCAGTTTCTCACTGTGACACCTTACGCAAGTCCTTTCCCCTCCCTGTGCCTCCATTCCCCCATTTGTTAAATAAGAAGTTTGGCCATAGACAATATCAAAGGTCCTTTTCAGTTTTAAGATTCTGTTTCTGTGTTTCTCCAAGTCACAGCTGGGTCCCTCACCCGCCACCATCATGGACACCACTTTCGTATGAAGGTCCTGGCAAGGTCATTCTTCTCTTCTGTCCTCACTTCCCAGTCACTCACCCAAACCTTAGTTCAGCTCCATCTGTAGGGTTCTCCTCCCTCTCCTCCCACCTCCACCCCTGAAAGTATTTTCTCACACGGGAGGCGTCTAGAAAGCCCAACCAACAATATCATAGTTAGCTTTGTAAACTGTGGCTTGTTATCATGAGACCTTAGGTATCTGTTTTCAGAGTCTGTGGTTGCTTTGGGAATCTAGACCCCCAACCTTGAGCAGGAGGGCTTGAGAGGGGAGAGTTAAGACTTGGGAGAACCAGTGTCTCCCATCCCCCAAGATCTCCAGAGGATGTAGTGCAGTTCCTCCAAGTCACTTCATGCACACACTCCCATCTCAGAGGTCAGGCCAGAGAGAAGATGGAGAAGGGAAATAGGTGATTGACTCAATGTTCTCTGACATTGGTGGTCTGAGTAGACCACTGATGGAGGCCTCTGTCCAGTTCTGGAATGACAAGACCAGGGGAAGGTGATCAGAACTGAGGGCTGTACCATATAAAAATTAACGGAAGGAACTAGAAGGAAATAAAAAAACTTAGCAGTAACATGATCACTAAATGTTTGAACAGCTGTCATGGGGAAGGGGGCCCAGGTAGACTTACTCTGCTTGGCCTCAAAGGGTAGAACCATGAGCAATGGGTAGAAAATACAAAGAAGCAAATTTGGGGCTCAATATTCCAGCACTTCAAAGGAAAATTTTCAGTGTAAAGAAAACCTTCCTAACACTTAGAGCTGTCCAAAATGGAATCAGCTTCTTTGAGGTAGGGCAGTCAGTTTCCCCTCACCAGATGACCACATGTTCAGAGTCTTGTAAAGGGAATTCTTCACCAGATAGGGTTGGGATAGTTGACCTCTGAGGTCATTTCAAACTCTGAGATTCAATGATTCAATGATGAGAACTAGGGAAATGAGGCTGGCCCTCAGGGAGGTGGCTGGCGGTCCCAGTGGCCTTTGGTCAGGTATGACCCTCTCAGCAGTTTTTCTTGTTCTCTTCCTGCTGGCTGGGGGTAGGGGAACAGAGAAAAAAGGCTGGCCATCGGAGGCAGCGGTAGGCCAGGAAGTGGGGCCCCACAGCATAGAGAAGGTTGAGGATAAAGAGGAAGGACCAGACATCTTCAGGGGTTCGGTAGGTATAGGGGGTGTAAGGATGCATTGAGGCACCGATGTGAGAGAACTGGGCCTATAATAGAGAAAAGCAGAGCGTAAGGAGGGCAGCACACCCTGGCATTCCTAGGGGCAGAGGTGGGGAACCTGCAGCCTTCAGGCCACACGTGCCCTTCTAGGTCCTCAGGTACGGCCTTTTGACTGGCTCCTAGTTTTACAGAACATAAAAGGGATTTGTTCTGTGAAGTTTGGATTCAGTCAGAGGGCCACACTTGAGGACCTAGAGGGACACATGTGGCCTTGAGGCCACAGGTTTCCCACCCCTGGTACGGGAATAGGAATGGGGCTGCTCTGTAAGGAACCCTAAATCTCTTTCAGTTTTCAGTACTATCCACCCTATGGCTCAGCCAACACTAACTCCGTGTCACTCTGATTTCTTTTACTCTCTCTCAGTGTGGCTCTGTATCTTTTTCTTTCTGCCTCAGTCTTCCTTCAGCTGTCTGTATCTATGTGTCTTCAGTCTCTCTCTGTGTCTCTCAATCTGTATGTGTCTTAATTCACGTATATCTTAGTGTATGGCAGTCTTCTGGCACATCCCAGTCTCTCTAGGTATCTCTCTGGGTCTCTAAATCTCTCTAGGTCTCAGCTTCTGCTTGCCCTACTTCTTTTTAACTACTTTTCTCCACTGGGGATAGCAGTGACTAACTTAAGAATTCACCCTTTACAATCTCTCTCTCTCTCTCTCTCTCTCTCTCTCCCCTCCCTTCCTCTGTTCCTCCCTTCCCCCTCTCATGCTCTTTCTCCTCCATCTCTCCTCTCCCTCCCTCCTTTCTTTCTCACACTCTCTCCTCCTCCTTCTTCTTTGCTCTTTCTCTGTCTCTATCTCTGTCTCTGTCTCTCTGTCTCTTTGTCTCTGTGTCTTTCACACACACACTCCCCCACACAAACACACATGTACACATACACACACAGAGAGGAAATTTTTTAAAAAAAAGTTTTGTCCTGGACTCACTGGGATAGGTTTTCTGCCCTGATCTTCCTGCCTCATCTAATCCCTCTTCCCACTCCCCTTCCCCACCACAGGCAGCCTGCCCCCTCACCTGGCCCATGGCCCCTGCAAACACCAGGGCCCAATCTGGGAGCCAGGTACAGCCAGGCCGCAGGAGGCCATAAGCAGCCAGGATGAAAAAAGGCAGAGCATAGAACAGGAACACCAACATCTGAAACCAAAGAGATCTGAGTACATCATCCCTCATGACTCCCCTCCTCTCCATCCCAACTCCACAAGCCCCAGAAAAATGGGAAGCAGGTTATATCAAAGACACTCCCCTCTCAGATTAGGAAGAGTTCTTGTCTCCCCCTCAGGCAGGAGACAGCCAGAGGTCAGGAACTGAACTGCTTCCGTCTGCCATCCCCCCTTCCTACCTTGTGCATAGCCGACCCATCCCCACCCCTCCCCAGGAGGCAGTTATGGTCCTGAAACATGAAAGAGGGATTTCTGAAGGGCTGAGGGTCCTCATCTGGGGAAGCCCTGCCAATCCTGGTGTTGGGGCCAGGGCAATCTCACCTGGATCTTGGGATAGGCCACAGGGTCCCGCAGGTATGGCTCATACTGATACACATAGATGAAGCAGGAATCTGTGGGACAGTCTAGGACCACCTGGAGGCACAGACAAGATTGGGCCTAAGTATCACCGAGACAGAAAGCTCCAAAGGACAGAGCTAGGGCACTCACCACCATGCCCAGCCTCAGAGAGCTCATCCCTATTAGAGGTGGCAGGCTACATGGAAGATGGCCTGAGAGACCATTTCCCCGAGGAAAGAGGCCTGGAGCAGGTACCAAAGAGCTCCATTGGGATGGTCTGGCTAGAGGCAGAGGAGAGCTGGGGAAGAAGGGTCCTTTAGAGAAAGACAGTCCATTGGGACATCCACTGAGGAGACTCACCAGGCCACGGAAAATGGTGAACAATCCGGCCAGGAGCAGAAAAATAAACAGAGCCAGGTCCCAGGGCCTCTGGAGCAGCCCCTTCTTATGCTCTTCAGCGATCTATGTAAGAGACACACACACACACACTCAGAGAGCAAGAGACACACCCAAAAACAGAGACCAAGTCAGACAATGGGTGAATGTTAGGGTTTGTTTTTACTGAAAAGCTCCTTTTTTTTTCTTAGCAAAAGGTATGGCTCAAGAGAGGGCAGAGGGGAGAAAACGCAATAAAAAATTAAAGAGAGACCACATGTTCCTAACTTACTTCAGAGATCTGCGATCTCATCCATTTGTGTGTTTCCTCTATTGAGGCTGATCACCACCCACTCTGTGGAACTTGGGAAGAGGTCTTTGAGAGAAGCTGAGACTCTCATCACCCTGATGCCAGCCCAGCGATGAGCCCCTCTGATCTCAGCTCAGATGATTCTCAGACAACAAACACCTACACTTGGCTATGACCCTAATAATACCATTAAAAACCCAGGTTATGGGGCAGTTAGGTAGTGCAGTGGATAGAGCCTTGGAGTCAGGAGGACCTGAGTTCAAATCCAGTCTCAGACCAGACACTTGACACTAGCTGTGTGATCTTGGGCAAGTCACTTAACCCCAACTGACTTGCAAAAAAAAAAAAAGAAGAAGAAGAAAGAAACCCGGATTATACTGGGAGGCAGCAGGACAAAGTAGGATTCAGAAAAGGATGATGAGGTCAGGAGAGGAGGTGGGAGTCTGGGAACATACAGAACTGTTGCTCAGAGGAGAGGGATACATCCTGGGCCAGGAAATGGATAATTCAGATGTCTTAGGATCAGGGAGAGAAACCCAGGCCTGACGGGGAGGAAAAAGGAAGCTGAAGAGTCCTTAACCCTATGGGATCTCCAAGGGATACTTATCCCTAAGTTAGACCCTGTTGGTTGCTGATCCCTCTGTCTCAATCATATCTCTGGATCCAACCTCAGCCCCAAGGACACTTCAGGACAGGAGATTTCATGGCACAATAGGATGTCGGCATTGACAACTCACTCTGTGAAGGGGAACAAGAGTCCAGGGGCCTGCAACTCTGACCTCATGTGGGAGGGAATTCTGGCACGCCATTCATCACCTTACAGATAACATATATACAGCACAGGAGACCCCTGGACTTGGGAGAAGACTCAGGTTGGAGTCTCAACTTCATGTCTTACTGGGTGACTTTGTACAAATCACTTCCTCACTCTGAGCCTCAGTTTTTTCATCTATAGAATGGGGATAATACTCACACTGAATAAAGGAAATAATGGAAGTGAAAGTACTATAGAAAGCACTCTAAAAATGTGAGTTTTATCATCATAGAGGCAGCAAGATGGTGCAGTGGTTAGTGCTGGACTTAGAGTCTGGAAGACCTAAGTTCAAATGCTGCCTCAGACACTTACTAGCCATGTGACCATGGGAAAGTCACATAACCAGTCTTCCTCAGTTTCCTCATCTGTAAAATGAAGACATGGCACATTTTTCACATGGCTGTTAAAAAGATCAAATGAACGGCAGCTAGGTGGTACAGTGGATAGAGCACCAGCCTTGGAGTCAGGAGGACCTGAGTTCAAATCTGGCCTCAGACACATAACACTCACTAGCTGTGTGACTCTGGGCAAGTCACTTAACCCCAAATGCCTCACCAAAAAAAAAAAAAAAAAAGATCAAATGAAATCATTTGTATAAAATCCTTTGTAAAGCTGTTAGCTATTATTATCATAAGGGCCTTCTGGAGACAGACTATGAGAAGGCGCTTTTTTGTTATCATACGCCACACAACCAGAGGGTGAAAATAGTAATAACCTATAGATCTATAGGTTTTACGGTTTTAAAAAACCCTTTCCTCACAACAACGTTTTGATGGAGTGCAAACATCCCCATTTTTCAGATGAGGAAACTGAGATTCAGTCACTTTAAGTGGCTTGTCTAAGGTCACAGTTAGTAGATGTAAGAGCCAGAACTGCCCCCCCACCTCCCCAGTCTCCTAAATCTGTAGCCAGTGGTCTTTCCACTCTCCCACGTGCTAGGGAAGGTACAGGTCCTTCACTGGCCTGAGGCACTGGTCAGAGTACAAGAAAGAACATGGCCCAGGACACTTACCATGTTGGCTGTGTAGCCTGCTGGGCCCCTGTCCTGGCTGAAGAGGCGTAGGCCAGCCCAGCAAGGGATTGACACATAGGGAATGTTCAGTAAGAAGGACAGTCGGAGCTCAGAGCTGTACTTGCCTGGAGAATGGAGAACAGAATGCTCAGTTGAGAGGATGGATCCAAGAGCTGGCTCTGGACTTGGGTACCATTTTCACTTTCTTCCATCCCTCAACCTACTTCCTGCATCTGGTCCTAGTAGTAAATATCTAGCATGATAGCTAGAATTTATATAGTGTTTTTAGGTTTGCAAAGCACTTGATAAATATTGTCTCATTTAATTTTCTTGGAAGGTAGATGCTATGGTTACCCCCATTTTACAAATGAAGAAACTGAGGCAGACAGTGGTTAAATGACTTGCCCAGGATTATACAGCTAGTAAGTTTCTACAGCAGGATGTGAACTCAGTACTTCCTGACTCTACCTTCTGAGCTCTATCCATTGCGTCACCTTGCTGCCTCTTGTAAAGCCCATGACCCCCACCCCCACCCCAGATCCAAAAGTGGAGAAAGTTTAACCTAACTAGGCTTAGGTAGAGCAGAGGCAATAGAGTCAAATAGAAAGAACAGAGACATGGGAGATTTGAGGCCTGGATTATATACCTTCTTTTGCCACTATTCATGTGATTTAGGACAAGTCCCTTTATCTCTGGGCCTCAGTTTCCCTATATGCAAAGTGAAGTTGGACTAGATGATCCTCTCAGTGCTATCTGTGTTCTATAGTCCCTTCTAGCTCTGATACTTTATGTTCTAAGGTCTCTTCTACCTCTGATATTCTGTATTCTAAGGCACTCCCAGCTATAACATTGTACATTCTAAAGTTATCTTCCAGTTCTGAAATTCTGTATTCAGTGTCCTAAGGGCCCAGCCAAGTCTAATATTCTTAAATGTAGAAACAAGAATTATATTCCAGCATAGCCTTGATCATTCCCCTTGTTTCCCCTCTAGCTGTTCCAAATATAGAACTCCCATTGTCTATCAAATAAAGAGAAGATTCATCAGATTAACATTCCAAGTGTTCTACCGATCTCAGGCCAACCACCTGTCTAGTCTTATCTGCCTTTTCTTCCCTACTGCAAAAATGAAATAAGTTGACCCAACAGTTACTTTCATTATTCCCCATACATGCCTTCAGCACCCCCCCATATCTAGAGAATAACCTTATTCTCCTCTCTGTATGTCCAAATACTATCCTGTAATCAAGACCTCAATTGCCAAATGTCACCTCCTCCTGAGATCCTTCACAGATCCACTAAGAACCTACTCTACTCCCTCCTCTGCATCCACTTAGCCCTATGTCTCTGTCTCTCTCCTCAGCTCTAATCACACTCTGTCTTGTACTTCCAAATCTCTGTACCTGTATCTCCTCTACTAGACAGCAAGCCCTTCGATGGCAAGGACTTGGTTTTATTCATTTCTGTCTGCTGCCTAGCACAGGAGCACTGTACATAAGTATTAGTGTACCATTAGATCAGTGAATGTTTGCAGATAGATGGGTAGCTGAGATCCTAGCAGTAATGGTAACAACTCACACTTCCACAGAGCACAAAGGTTTTTAAGGTTCCATTTCTGACACACACTAGCTGTGTGACTTAGGGCAAATCACTTGACCTCTCAGCTAGGCAACTCTCTAAGACTCCAAGTTTCAAGGAAGATGTTGACCTGCACTGGTGGAGTTTTCTTATCAGGAGTTCTCTTTGTCAATAAAATCACAAATCTAGTCCTTTTTCTTACTGGGTCTTCAGGAATTGTGGCTGCTCAGGAGGCTGGGGCTCCTATAGAGGCCATTGCCAGGTAGTATAGAAAGGAAGGAAGATGAAGGAAGGAAGGAAGGAAAGAAGGAAGGAAGGAAGAAAGGAAGGAAAGAAGGAAGGAAGGGAAGAAGGAAGAAAGAAAGAAAAAGAAAGGAAGGAAGGAAGGAAGAAAAGAAGAAAGAGGGAAAAAAGAAGGGAGGGAGAAAGGAAAGAAGAAAGAGGGAGGGAACAAAGAAGGAAGGAAGAAGGAAGGAAGAAAGGAAGCTTGAATAGTGGCACAGGGGATTAGCTGGAAACAAGGCTAGTGGTCTGGGGGTACTGCTATTTCTAGGGCTCTTGGGTTTATCTGCCCTTCAATGGGCATTGGTTAGTAGTCAGGGTTGGTAATGGTGGAATGGAAGAAATCTTCTCCACAGGGCTAATATGATAGCTAGATGTTAAGTGGCAGGGCTCATAAGATAAATAAGACCCCCTTATAAAGACTCCTTTCTTTGCAGAGGTGAAGGTCTGTGAGGGTGAAATGTTGCATGTACTCTCAAACACAATGGATGTGTTCACTGGCTTTGCTGGGCTATTTTATTTTTTTCCTTTTAAAATCTTTGTTACAACAAATGTTTCACTGGGAAGGGGAAAGAGGAAGGCTATATTTAGAGATGAATGTGATGGAATAAAAAAAAATCAGCAAGATAAAAAAGAAAGAATAAAAAATCCAATTCAATGATACAGGCATAAGAGAGAATAGGCCAAGTGCAATGAAACATGAAGGAGACAGTGTTACTGACCAAGAAGATCAGGGAAAACTTCCTGCAGGAGGTGACATTTGCTTTAGTTTTTAACAAATGGTCAGGAATTTAACACTGTCCAGGTGAGGGCCTCTTGTGAAGTTATTTCCCGGCACCTTCCTCTGCAGATCCAGCAATCAGTAGCTACCCACATGCCCAGAAAAGAAAGGTCTCACCCCAAAGTCCTTGGCACTGTCCAGTGGTTTAACGTCAGAAACAGATATGGTTTTATCAACAGAAAGGAAACTGGAGAAGATGTGTGACCATCTGCTTTGCTGTTGCACTCTAAGGACCACACAACTTGAAGCTAAAAAGTCCAGTATGTAAGCTCTTGAAATCAGGGACTGTTTTGTTTTTTATTTGTATCTCCAAGCTTTTAATACAGTGCCTGGCACGTAGTAGGAGCTTAATAAATGTTCTTCCTTCCTTCCCTCCTCTCTCCCTTCCTTTTTCCTTTCTTCCCTTTCTTTTTTCCTTTGCTTCCTGTTTATATTTCTTCTCTTCCTTTCTCCCTTCCTTTTCTCTCTTTCCTTCCTCTCCCTTCCTCTTTCCCTCCTTCCTTTTCTTTCTCTTCCTTCCTCTCTTTATTTCTCTCCCTTCCTTCCTCTTTCTTTCCCACCCTTCCTCCCTCCCCTCCCTCATTCTCTCCCTTTCTCCCCCCCTCCTTTACTTTCTCCCTTTCCTTTCCTTTCTTTTCCCTTCCTGCCTTCCTCTTTCCCTCCTTTACTTCCTCCCCTTCCTTTCCTTCCTTCCTTCCTCTTCCTCTCAATGCCTATCACAAAGGCCTCTAACAAAAGGTACTTAATAAATGTTTGTTGAGAATGAAGAGTCCTTCCCAAAAGCTTCTGGCAAGAGGCTAGGTCTGGCGAGATAAATCCTACCCACCCCACCCCACATATCCCAGAGCTGAAAGTGGGATTAGTCAGTCTAGGGTTAGGTCTCCCTCTTTTCCAGACGGGAAAGATGGCTTCTTCTGGGAGAGGGAGAGTGGCACAGGAGAAGTCTGGGACAGAACTGGTGGAGAAGCTACTGGCCTTGTGTGTGGCCTATCCAGACTGCTACACCAATTTGCAAAGTTCTCTTCTCTCCCTCCCTCCCAATCCCCCTTCCTCTGAAGCTTTGGCAACAAGCGTGTCACTTACCAAGTATGTGGCACATCTCAAAGGCATGATACTTACCAAGGATATTTCCTGGGACAAAAACCATGATGCTCATGACAAGTGACCCCAACCAGTACAGCCCGAGGCTTCTATATCTCTTCCTGAGGGAAATGGAGAGAAACTGGCAACTTTCTTAATCCTTCAGATGGGCGCATGGATGAAAGGGCTGCAAATTCCCTGACCAGAGAGGGGGGTTGTGGAAGAGCAAGCAAGGAAACCAAGTCAAAGAAGGATTTCAGGGTGGGAGGACAGCAAGAGAAGGGGGCCAGTAGGAATTCTGACTCCCTTGGCCAGTCCTGAGGACATCTAGTCTACTCTGAATCAGTGCTGGAATCTTCTCTAAGCATTCCTGGCAAATGATCATCAAACCTTCACTGGAAAGTCTCCACTGGGGCCAGTATGGGGGGGAGGGGAGGGCATCCTAACTGTTAGTATATTTTTCCATATATAGAGTCAAAATCTGCCTCTCAGCAACTGTCCCCCACTGCTTCTAGTTCTGTCCTCTGGGGTCAAACAGAATATGTCTGATCCCTCTTCCTCCACTTGACAGCTTTTCAAATACTCGCAGACCATTATATGCCTCCTGAGTCTTCTCTTCTCCAGGCTCAACATCCCCAGTTCCTTCAACCAATCCTTGCTGAAGATTTTTTTGGCAACCCTTTATATACTTGGAGATAGATTCTTAATTGGTCTGCCTGCTTCCAGGCTCTCCCCTATCTACTTTATCCTCCATCTCACTGCCAAATTGATATTTCTAAAATATACCTCTGACTATGTAACTTCTTTGGTCAAAAATCTTCAGTGGCACCCTACTAGTTCTATGGTAATATACAAAATCCTCAGTCTGGCATTTAAATCCCTTTCTCCTTTCCTTCCTTTTCTTTATTTCTTTATTCCTTCCTCTATTTCTCTTCCTTCCTTTATCTTTCCTTCCTTCCCTTCCTTCCTCTCTTTCTTCCTTCTCCTCCTTCCTTCCTTTCTCTTTCTCCCTTCTTTCTTTCCTTCCTCCTTCCTTTCCTATTTTCTCCCTCCTTCTCTCTCTCTCTCTCTCTCTCTCTCTCTCTCTTCCTTCCTTCCTTCCTCCTTCTCCCAATGCCTATGACAAGGTCCTCTAATAATAGGTACTTCATAAATGTTTTTTGAAAGTGAAAAGTCCTTCCCAAAGGTTGCCGGCAACAGTTTGGCTCCCAACTATGTCTCCAGTCTTATTTCATATTACCTCACTTCCCTTACTTCTCCTTCCTGTCAAACTGGCCTGCCAACTGTTCCTTGTACTTGGCACTCTCTCACCTCCATGCGTCATGTTTGGGATGCACTCCTTCCTCATGGTCATCTCTTAGAATCCTTTGCTTCATTCAAAGCACAGTTCAGGTGCCATGTCCTACACGAGGCCTTCCCTGATTTTCCTCCTCTCCCATCCCAATTATTAGGGTTATCTCCCTCTATAAGTTATTTCATATTACTTTGATATGCTTATCTATCTAAATATTGTAATCTCTGGTAGATTGAACATATTCATAGGGAGATGTCATATCCCCTTCTGCTCTTTGAGGTCAAGGGCTGATTCATTTTTATCTTTGTATAGCCAGTGCCTCGCATGGTCACTGGAACATAGTAGGTACTTTATAATTATTTCTTGAATTAAATTGAATAGTATCATGTGCTTCCTAAGTCCTCTTTTCTCCAAGTGGAAGGAAATTCTTCAACCAATCCTCATGACACTTAGAGACTAATTAGTAATGTCCAGGTCTAAGAAGCACTGGTCAGAGCACATCAGTAGTACTATATTCAAGTCCAGTGCTGTGCTTTAGGAAGGATGCTGATAAGTTAGAGAATGTCCAGAGGAGAGCAGCTAGGGTGAAGAAGAGTCTTGAGATCATACCATGGGTGGAAAGAAATCCCCAGAGATGCAGCAGAGTAAAATGGAAAAACATCTGCTACTTATGTGACCCAGGGTAAGTCATTTGTTATTTCTATGCTTCATTTTCCTCATCTGCAAAATGAGATGTTCTTTCCAGCTCTAAATCTATGATCTTATGAACTATTTGTCATTTAGTTGTTTTCAGTCATGTACAACTGTTGCTGACCCCTTTAGGTTTTCCCAGTAAAGATACTAGAGTGGATTGCCATTTCCTTCTCCAGCTCATTTTACAAATGAGGAAACTGAGACAAAGAGGGTAAAGTGACTTGCCCAGGGTCACACAGCCAGTAAGTGTCTGAAACTGGATTTGAACTCAGAGAGATGAGTCTTCCTCACTTCAGGCCCAGCACTCTATCCACTATGGCGCCACCTAGGCTGCCCTCTTGTGAACTAGCGATGTTTAAATTGGAAAATACAAGACTTAAGCTCTCTTCAAGTATCTGTATTGAGGTTATACTTGCTCTGCTTGGACAGAAGCTGAGAAAAGACAGGCTTATGTTTGATGTAAGAAAAAAAATATTTTACTCATTAGAGTGATCCAAAAGGGCAGTGGGCTTCCTCTGAAGATAATGGGTTCTTCACTGGAAGTCTTTAAGCAAAGGCTGGATGAAGGCAGGAAAGAGACTGGGTTCTTTGCCTCTATGACCTTCATGTCCTTCCCAGTTCTTAATCTAGGTTCTAGGTTCTAAGAACCCTTCCCTAGCTCAACATCCTGTGATTTGTGTTCTATGATTACTTTTAGGTCTAACATTCTAGATTTTATTTTCTAGAGTTACTTCCAGCTCTGAAATTCTGGGTTATATGACTCCTACACCCCTTGGGTCTTGGAAATTTCTTGGTTTCACCAATTTAGTCCCAAACCCAGAAGACACTGAGCAGTACCCTGAGACCCCTTGTATTGCATGCTAGGAGTTAACTTCGTTATTTTCTCTAGGAGCTGCTTCCTGAGTCCCAGCCCCTGATGCCTTCCTTGCCTCCTCCTTCCCCAACAAGTAATCTCTTCTCCTTTTCCTGCCCCCTGACTCTTCCAGGGAGCCTCCTTACCTCTTAGCAATGGCCCCAGTCATGGTGAGGTAGAGCAGATAATGGACAGTGCCATTCCAGTAGCAGCTAAAAATCCCATGGGCAGTGCACAGATATGGCTCCCTCTGGGGTAACAAAGGAACAGAAGGGAAGGTGTAGGGCTAGGCTGGAGACTGCTCATGAGTCCTTCCAGCAGAAACAGGAAAGGATAGGACTTACCTCTCGAGTATAGAATTCCATGAGGCCCGTCACATAGTCATCCTCCTCAAGGGCAATGAACAAGTCAATAAGGGAGGTGAAGGAAAAGATGGTAAACACTGTGGGGAGAGCACAGACAGGTCAGACTCCCCCTCCCCCCAGTCCCTGGCCCAACCAAGGTAATTTAATTCAGCAATGCATCCAGGGCTCTATACACTGGAATTCAAAGATGAAACATTACACAGTCCCTACTCTCAAAGACCTAAAAATCTTAATGGGCAGGGCATATAATTCCAACCACTTCCCTTGGGTAGCAAGGGACCCACAAACACCATAGAACATTAGAGTTACATGGATCCTTAGACCATAGAACAAAGACTGCCAATGTTGGATGAAGGGGATCTTAGAAAATGGAGGGGAGGGATGTCCCTGGATATGGGCAACTTCCCAAGCCCCTTAGAACACAGAATGTCAGAGCTAGGAGGGCCCTTAGAACACAGAATAACATCAAAGCTGGGAAGGCCCTTACAACAGTGTCAGAGCAAGGACCCTCCAGAGAGCACAGAACATCAGAGTTAAAAGGTTCTGTAGTACACAGAATACTGGATTTGGATGGGCCCTTAGAACATATAAAAGGTCAGAGTCAGAAAGGCTTTAGGTACAGAACATGGAATGTCAGAGAATATCAGACTTGGGAGGACTATAGATACAGACACAGAATGTAAGAGAGAAGATTCCTTAGAAGATAGAATATCAGAGCTGGGGGTGGAGAAGACCTTGAACAATAGAATGACAGAGCAAAAAGATTCTTCAGAACACAGAATGTCAGACCTGAGAACCTAAAATATAGAACAACAATGCTGAAAGGGACCTTAGGACTCCTTCATTTGGGAGCAGGCTAGACACATGTTTCCTTGATACCAGTCCCCAAGTCTAATGTCAGGGCACTAGGCCAAAGGTCATGGTAACAGATGCTTCTTCCCCACTGTAAACTCCACTAACCCTCCCATAACCTTCCATCTCCCTTGCCCCCCAGGACTCACCAACAAAAAGTGGATCATGAGAGATGTCTCCCTGGGCCAGACTGGAGAGGGCCACAAACAGTAGAGCCAGGATCATTGCACTCAGCATAGCCATACCCAAGGGACTGGGAAGTAAATGAGGAGTCAGGATGGTGCCCAGATTGCAGATAGGGTCTGACACACTTGGAACTATCAGTCAGGACCCTTGGTCTGAACCTAAGGTCCAGGGTCTCCACTTTCTCACTACCCACTCACTCCTTTCAGTCTGACTTCAACCCTCATCATTTTATTGAAACTTTTCTCTGTAGTCACCAATGACCTGATTTCCAAATCTGATGGCATCTTCATAGTTCTCATTCTAGAAGAGCAAAATAAACATACCCAAGGTGATATGGGTAATAAGCTGTAAATTTCTGCATTTTTTGATGCTGGTGGATATTTCCCCACCTGGACACTCTACCTTCCCTTGACATCTATTATACTCTTGGTTCTCCTACTTGTCTTCTTAACACTGCTTCTTAAATTCCCTTTTCTCCTTCTGGTCCATCAACAAGTATTTATTACCATGTGTCAGGCACTGTGCTAAGTGCTGGGGACACAAAGAAAGGCAAAAGACAGTCTCTGCCCTCAAGGAGCTCACAGTCCAAAGCAGGAGACAATATGCAAACTATATACAAGATATAGATAGTATAAATGGGAGATAATCTCAGAGGGAAAGCCCTAGAAGTAGAGGGGAGGAATGTCCTTGGTTGTGGGCAACTTCCCAAGATCCTCAGCCTGTTTCTCTCTCTAAAGTCTCTCATCCACTAATTTTGAGACCCTCATCTCTTCTTAGCAGTGCTAGGATCCAAAACAACTCCAAAGGACTCATGACGGAAAATGCTGTCCACATTCAGAAAAAGAACTATGGAGTCTGAATGCAGATCAAAGCATATTATTTGCTCTCTCTTTTTCTTATTTTTTTGCTTGTTTCTTCTTTCTCATGGTTTCTCTCATTGGTTCTAATTTTTCTTTACAACTTAACTAACGTAAAAATAGGTTCAGTATGAATGTATACATAGAGCCCATATCAAATTGCACACTGTCTTGGGGAGAGAAGAGGGGAAGGAGGGGGAGAAAATTTGGAACTCAAAATCTTATGGAAGTGAATGTTGAAAAATAAAAATTTTTAAAAGTGCATATAAAGTCTCTCATCCATTACCAACTCTCCATCTCCAACTTCTCCATTGATTGAACTGTAGTCCCAGATGTCTTTCTGATTTCCAGCTAGACATCTCCATCTGTGAGTTCTGCTGGGGCCTCAAGTTCAACATGTTCCAAACTGAACTCAGCCTTTTACTGTCAAATCCATCATAACTCCCAATCTCTTTATTTCTGCTCCTAGCAGAAGCAACTAGTTGGAGTGCTGGGACTAGAGTCAGGAAGACCTGGATTCAAATCCAATCTCAGAAACTTACTAGTTGTGTGACTGAGCAAGACCTTTGCCTCAGTCTCCTCAACTGTAAAATGAGGATAATAATAGCACCAGGGTTGTTGTGAGGATAAAATGAGATAATACTTGTAAAGAGCTTAGCACAGTGCATGGTACAGAGTAGGGGCTATATAAATGCTTACTCCTGTGAAAGAACTTTGAAAACTTTAAAGAGTTATATAAATGCTCTGTAGCATTATTCTTTTTGACTCTTCCCTATCCCTCACCTTTTCCTCCATCTAATCAGTCACCAAGTCTTGTCCTGACCAGTTTTCCTTAAAAATATCTCACTTCAAATTTTTCTCTTCTCTTTTCTGAATTTATCTGGAGCTGACGCTGATCATCAATCAACCAACATTTATTAAGCACCTACTATATGTCAGTGGATAGAGTACCAGGCCTGGAGTTAGAAAGACTCATCTCCCTAAGTTCAAATCTGGCCTCAGACACTCACTAGCTGTGTGACCCTGGGCAAGTCACTTAACCCTGTTTGTCTCAGTTTCCTCATCTGTCAAATGAGCTGGAGAAGGAAATGGCAAACCACTCCAGTAGCTCTGCCAAGAAAACCCCAAATGGGGTTCTAATTCTTCTTTACAACTTGACTAATGTGAAAATAGATTCAATATGAATGTATTTCCATAGGTTCAATGATCATACCTATGAATATGACTCTGATACCTTTTAATACACATCTAGTCCCTCCATTGAGCTCCAACTGCCTATTGGACATTTTTTAACTGAATTGTCCCATAGGCATCTCAAAGTAAATATATTAAAAAAGAACTCATTATATTTTCCCAGAAAACTCTCCCCAACAGAGAGTCAGACACGACTGAAAAACAACTAAATAACAATAACAACAATGAGTCTGTGCACTGTGGTACTATGGTAGCTGCTAAGGATACTCAAACAAAAATAGAACAGTCTCTGCTCACAAGGAATTTACATTCTAACAAGAAAAGACACAGATAGCTAGATAGCATTCATATAAAACTTTAAGGTTTGCAAAGTGTTTTACAAATACTATCCATTTTATCCTCACAGCAACTTTGTGCAGTAGGTGCTATTATTATCTCCATTTTGCAGTTGAGGAAACTGAGGTAGACAGAGATTAAGTGCCTTGCCCAGGGTCATACAACTGGTTAGTGACTAGGTCAAGATTTGAATTCAGGTCTGTGTATATGTATACATACATTTAAGGAAATACAAAGAACAAGTTAAATACAGAGAGAGGAGTGGATCCAAGAAGAGAGGGCTGTCAATCAATAAGCATTTATTAAAGCGCCTACTTGTGTTCCAGGCACCTTGTTAAACACAGGAAATACAAAGAAAGGCAAAAACAGTCCCTGCCCTCAAGAAATTTTCATTCTAACGTGGAAGACAACATGTAAATAACTAGTCACATACAAGATGTAGATATGAGAGAAACAAGACATATAATAGGGAATAATATGTAAGGGTAGGTAGGGGCCAGGTTATGAAGAGCTTTAAATGCCAGCAGATTTTTAATTTGATCCTAGAGGTAATAGGGAGCCATTGCAGTTTGAACAAGGGAGTCACCCAGTCAGACCTATGCTTTAGGAAAAATCACTCTGATGATCCTGTGGAAGGCGGATTGGAGCAGGGGAAGACGTAAGGCAAGGAGATCAATTAGGAAATAGTCCAGGTGAGCTGTGATGAGCCTGCACCAGTGGCTATGTGAATGAAGAGAAGGGGAAGAATATGAGAGAGGGGCTGATCTAATAACTGGCAACAGATCCGCTATGTGGAGTGAGGAAGAAGGACGATGAGGAGTCAAGAATGGCTCTGAGGTTGTGAACCCGGATAACTGGAAAGACAATGGTGTCTTTGACAGCGTTAAGAAATTCTGGAAGAGGAGATGTTTTCTGGGGAAATATAATGAGTTCTTTTTGAGTATATTTAGTTTGAGACGCGTAAGAGACATCCAGTTAAAAATGTCCAACAGGCAGTTGGAGCTCAATGGAGGGACTAGACGTATATTAAAAGATCTCAGAGTCATCTTCATAGGTAAGATCATTGAACCTATGGAAATTGATGAGTTCACCAAGTGAGACTGTAAAAAGTGTGAAAAGAAAAGCGAGCTCAGGGCAGTGCCTTGGGGCACACCCACAGTTAGTGATGAAGATCCAGTAAATGGGGCAGAAGGATTGGTCCCACTGGGAGAAGACCCAAAGTCAATATTATCCAATTCTGCAGAGATGTCAGGAAGGATGAAGATGAAGAAAATGCCATTGTATTTGGCATTTAAGAGATTTTGGAGAGGCCCTTTGGAAAGGGCCATTTCAGTTAAGTGATAAGGTTGGAAGCCAGACTACAAGGGGCTGAGAAACAAGTAAGAAGAAAGGAATTGAAGGCAAGTACTGAGGATGTCTGTTTCTAGGAACTCGGCCATGAAAGGAAAGAGAAGTAGAAGATGATAGCTTGAAGGGATGTAGGGTCGAGTGAAGCTTTTTTAAAAGACTCAGGCTGGTTTGTAAGCTGCAGGGATGCAGCAGCTAGTATTTAAGAAGAGACTGATGATGAGAAAGGAAATGATTGTAGGGCTAATTTTCCTGTGGAGATCGGTAAAGAAAGACAGAATGAAAGACAACCAGGTTTTGAGATGTAGAGTGGAGAAGAGAGAGCTCAAGGTGAATGGCCGTCATTTTCTGAATAAAGTATGAGGAGAGATCTACGGCTGAGAGGGGTGGAGAGTGGAAGGTGTGGGCGACTTGAGGATGGAAGAAAAGGTCTGAAACATCTACAATGGGGAATGTGAGAGAGAATCAATTAAGAGTAAAAGGATTGCCTTCTGGCAATTGAACCCCATTGGGATGAGGTGTCACAAATTGTAACAGACCCAGTCAACAGAGTTGGGTGACTACCTCCAACTTCATTCACAGCACATAGGTAAGAGCACAGGAGGCAGACAGTGGGGGTAATCCAGGGGTTGTTTTAGCAAGTATGAGTTGTGTAAGGACGTTGTCTTTTTTTTCTAACTATGGTCCCATGGAAAATTAAAAAGCTCTGATCTAAAGGAGTCCCAACTGGTGCACATCCTCCCTAACAGATGACAGACATCTGTAATGCGGTTAGAAGCAGAGGTTTGGGATAATCTGGGACCTGGGGCAGGAATGTCACCGAATATCATAGCTCAGAGGTTCCTGAAAAAAACAGGACTGACAAGTAGATGTAAGGGATGCAAAGAAGGGGCAGCTAGGTGGCGCAGTTGATAAAGCACTGGACCCGGAGTCAGGAGGACCTGAGTTCAAATCCTGCCTCAGACACGTAATGCTCACTAGCTGTGTGACTCTAGACAAGCCACTTAACCCCAATTGCTCAACCCCCCCCCCCAAAAAAGAGAGAGATGCAAAGAACCTGATAGGTCACACAAACCAATCTCCAACCTGATACTGTATGGGAATGTTTGATTCTCCAAAGCCTTTTCTCTTCATATCTTCCCTTCCTTATCCACCAAGGGGCATCTCCTTCATTTTCCATGGAGAAACTGAAGCCAGAGAGAGGTAAGGGTTTGTTGGAGGCACATTCCAAAGCAGACTTTCATAACCTGCCCCCAACCTACCTTTCCACTTTTAATATTCATGGGGTGGGGAGGTTAAGGGTCAAGAAAAATGTAAAGGAGTTAGGATTTTGTTGCATCCTTCCATGGCCTTAAATTACCCCTCCTTCCTAAGCATAGGGTGGGCACATAGTTTCTTCCAGATGTGACATTTTATGCTCTAAGTCCCTTCCAGCTATGACATCATTTGATTTATAATCAGAACATCTGTATTCAAATCTCAGTTCCACTACTTACTATTTATATGACTTTGGGCAAGTTATTTTCTTTCTCTGGTCTTCAGTTGCCTCATCTGAAAAATCAAAGG